TCTGAAACAAGTAAAGTTGACTTGGTTATGACGACTACGACAATTGCACCATTCTACAGTGAAACGATTAATCCCACAACAAGCTCAAAAACAAACCGGATAGCTTCTTCTGAAACAAGTAAAGTTGACTTGGTTATGACGACTGCAACAATTGCACCATTCTACAGTCAAACGATTAACCCAACAACAAGCTCAAAAACAAACCTGATAGCTTCTTCTGAAACTAGTAAAGTTGACTTGGTTATGACGGCTGCAACAATTGCACCATTCTACAGTCAAACGATTAATCCCACAACAAGTTCAAAAACAAACCTGATAGCTTCCTCTGAAACAAGTAAACTTGACTTGGTTATGGCGACTACGACAATTGCACCATTCTACAGTGAAACGATTAATCCCACAACAAGCTCAAAAACAAACCTGATAGCTTCTTCTGAAACAAGTAAAGGTGACTTGGTTATGGCGACTACAACAATTGCACCATTCTACAGTCAAACGATTAATCCCACAACAAGCTCAAAAACAAACCTGATAGCCTCTTCTGAAACAAGTAAACTTGACTTGGTTATGACGACTACAACAATTACACCATTCTACAGTCAAACGATTAATCCCACAACAAATTCAAAAACAAACCTGATAGCTTCTTCTGAAACAAGTGAAGTTGACTTGGTTATGACGACTACAACAATTGCACCGTTCTACAGTCAAACGATTAATCCCACAACAAGCTCAAAAACAAACCTGATAGCCTCTTCTGAAACAAGTAAAGTTGACTTGGTTATGACGACCACAACAATTACACCATTCTACAGTCAAACGATTAATCCCACAACAAATTCAAAAACAAACCTAATAGCTTCTTCTGAAACAAGTAAACTTGACTTGGTTATGACGACTACGACAATTGCACCATTCTACAGTCAAACAATTAATCCCACAACAAGCTCAATAATCATACCTTCAACCAATACAATGATGAATCCGCCAGGTACGGCTATGAATATTGCATCTGCATCAATGATTTCATCCGTTGTTAACACCATTATTGCGACCTCTACTACCTCGATTAACTACTCCAGCCAAAGTCGAATACCCAATCTAACAACAAGCGGAATGATCACTGGGATCACTAAGACTCAAAGTCCAAGTAAGTATTAAGGGATCATGCCAATCCTATTCCAACCTTGATTGTCACTTAAAATTCAGTTAAATTTCGAACTTAAAAATTCTTCCTAACAGTTCATTAAAATCAATCAGTTCGCAGTTGTAAGGCATTCAGTGCGCTATACAATAAGTTTCATCACAAGAATATATTCATCGTTCAAATTTGAGCCTGCAGCATCAAGGATGCGGACAAAACCATGTTGAAAACTAGGATGAAAAGCTCATGTTTTTTTTACGATAACAGATTTGCTTGTGACTGTGGCTACGAAACTATCATAAGTTTTCAATCTCACTTGGTGTGCGTTGAGATTCCAAAAACTTCCAATATATTACGAAATTATCTCTGCTGTAATATATCAATCGGATTCTTAAGTGCGTTTTTGATATTTTACGGTCAATTTCACATTACTTCTGCACAAAAAAATGGCTATTTCACTCCCGCGCTAATATTTCCTTGGTAGCCGAAATTGAAGCACATTTTGGCACATTTAAGTTAAAAGGCTTTCAGTGCAATCCATATGGGATTGAGACATGACACATGATGGAGTCAATTCAAGCATTACGGAAGGATCTCGTTTTGTCTATCGTAGTTACCTGACGGACTAGGACTAACATATCGAAAATTCTTTCTATTATCACAGACCGTGATAGACATGTCAAGAAACCATTTAAAATGTCAGATACCGTGAGAGATATACACAAAAACTTCTTAACGTTAAGGACTATGACAGAGATGCTGACGTTCTTTTGAACCTATCACAAAATGTGACAGGCATTTTCGACATGTCTATCACGGTCTATGGAGGAAAGATCGAAGTTTTTCGCTGTAAGCCTCAATACTCATTTTCAGTCGTTTTTCACAAAATGATAGATCTCAATGATGAGGATTATTTACTGAAGGTAAAACACCAAGTCATGTGGAGTTAAACATGTTTGAGACCAAACTCCTTTCACCGAAATTCTTCAGGTAAGAAACAAAATCTAACTCTTACTAGGTGGAAAATGATTTCTTCGATGTCTAGTGATTTCTAATAATTTTTGATGATTTGTCTTGTTTTCTCAATGATTTTTATTGATTTCTAATCATCTCTACGTTAGAAATCAAGTTTTCCAAAGGAGAAACAGGTAATTTAAATCTACCAAAAATCACCGGAATTATCGCGGATAACTGAAATCACAGAAATTAGGAACACGACTGTTTCATAACCTCTAAGAATTTCTCTGTCAATACAGGAATCGTTCTGTTTTTCTGTTAATCTTAGGAACGAAAATTTTTATAGTTACCTTTATTTATCAAACTACACAGTAATTTATGTCTTTCCTTTGATAGAATCCGTTATTTTTCCAAATAATTTTGATTCATAATAAAGATTTCACATAAAAAACATGTAGTATTAAGAAGATGTGCTTTTTCTACAAAAATTCCTCGCAAAAACTTTTAAGAATGCTCCATTTTCAGGGTTTCTCGAGGACGACTAAACGAAAAATTCTAAAACTTTCATCCAAAATAGCTCTTGATTAGCAGAGCAAAAGTTGTGCTAGATTCAGAAAGATCTAACGCTTCCTCCAGGGACATATAGGTAGCGCCAGTGGTAGAAATCACTAAACTTATGTCCTCTCACTTCTACCGAAAGGTATTGATCAATCGAGCTGAATATTCTTTCTCAAGTATTTGAGACAACTTGAAGTGACTATTTTTTCGGTTTCGCTTTTTAATTCAATTATTGAGAAGATAAAATTCAAATACGAAAAGTACTCCCATAAACAGCCTTTTTTGAGTGGGCTAAGATTTGTAATATCTACCATAAGTCAACACAACAGCATTTTCACGAATAATTCAATGATCATCTTTACATCTAACATGAGTACCAGTGCCCACGCTTTTGCATAGCTATCGACCAGTAGCAGTATGTAACCGCTGCATCACAGATCCTTCTAATATTTTTTCAAAAGACTATTATTTGCAGACAAAATGAAAGCAATAAAGCCTTGACTATCTCTGCTTTCCATTGGTCCCATAAGAAACTATTTGCCTTCTTTTCTCCAGAAAAGCACGTTTCCTACTAATTCTTCTGTTAAGAGCTTAAGTCATGTCATTTCTCTCAAACTACTCAAAGAAGATACTACGTTTTACTTTTACTTTTTCTTCCTTATGTGAAAAACACAACAAATCAAGGAAAAAGCAACATACAGCATTCAATTCAGACTACTGAAATACGAATCGCAGTGCCATTCCCCTTCTTTATTCAAGACACTTCTATTATGTTTGATTTGCTTTTGAATTGACATATTCAAACAGCTTTTTGACGAGAGACGAATAATAGTAATTTTTCCAGCAAAATCATTTTATCAAAACAGTTCAGAGCATGATGAAGACGCCTTTCGAATACAAATAATTTGTACCAATGAACTCATTGCTATGGCAATGCATCAGAGATGATATAACTCAGTTGATCAAGTAACACTTTGTACTCCCTAAAAGCCCTCATCAGAAACAGCTCATAGAACAATGAGCCACTTTTTCCTATGACAAATGCCTATGTGAAAAACAAGCATTTCTGTTTGTCACTTCGTTCGCAAGACGACTATTGGTCATATATAAAGGTCTTTAAAAAATTTCACTTCTCTAAAACTGATTTAACCCACCATAAACGAAAAACTTCCATTTGATGTGAATGATATGATCAGCCCTCTTACTTTTTGCTTTTTTTTCATCTACAATATCACAACCATGTTCGAAAATCTTCGTTCTTGCTGTGTCCTTCGTCTAAGTCAATCTAAAAGAGCTATTCCAGAACTCCCGTGACCTCAACTAATGCCGGCGCAAATTCTTTTTCCTTGCATGCCCCCTCGCTTCTTTTTGAGGCGAAACAGAATTAATTCATATTGGATATTTCCATTCTCTACTTAGCAACAATGACTCCATGTTGTGCCAGAACGTGTAGTGGAAGTTTAAGTAGCCAAATTAATACCACTACTTGCAGCAGTGTTTGTCAAGATAGAGGTTGGTATTTGTGTCGTGCTGGTTCAACTTATTGTAATGGTTACACTTTTACCTATGGTGGCGTCTGCAATAGTGCTAATGGTGATCCTCCTTGTCCTGATGGTTATTGTTGTATTTTTGATACTTATAACGCTGCTGCTCCTTATCTTTGTCTAAGCTGTAATAATCCATGTAAGTCAATTAGGATATCACCATTACTTCTTGTTCAAACGAAATATAGTTCTTTTATATTGGATGTTTCCTTTGTTTATTTAGCATTGCCAAATGTTTGTACTACTGCTACTGGATCTGGATAACGTTTGTATTACGTTAAGAAAGGTTCATTCCTTTAATGGCCGTATATGTTGAAAAGCAGGAAAGACTGTTTTGAATTTTTCCTTTGAATTCGTACTTAGTTCTGTTTTGTGTGTTTTACTACCTACCTGGTTTTGGGTTTTATGATGTCTAGTGGCTTGGTTTTTTTCTTTGTTCTGCCAGTTAGTTATCCTTGGGTCTGCATACACATATTCTCTTAACGCTTTCTTTGTTTTGATATATCTGCTCTGATGTTCACTCTTTGCTAAGGTATCAATAATGAATTTTGGTTCAGTAAAGTCTTTATGATGTACGGAATGCTTTGATTTGGTCTTGTTATCTCTGACTTTTTTTGTGACAAAGATGGAGAAGAACAAGTACATATCTACAAGGCTATGTACACGAAGAGCGGAAATACGAAAGAAATAGGACTTACAGTGGAACTGTTTGTCATGTCAGTCGATTTTCTTAACTATTTCGGTGTCAAATGATAGCCCTCAACGAGAAACTACCAAATCAAAAATATGAGCTGCCAATGGCAAGCCTGAATCGAGTTATTCAAGTTTTGAGGTATTGAAAAGGACGGAGGACGGTTTGTCAATAAATCGATGCTATTTTAAAATTACTTGGGAAGTTACTTCTTTCATCCAATTTATACTTCTTACTTCAACAGTATACTACTTCCGAGTCACAGATCGATTTTCCCGCACCTTTATAGTAATATTGAATGAGATAGTCACAATCACCCTGCCTATCGTACATTTTTCATACAAACAGCATCATGTGGTCCATGTAATCACTAGTCGACTTCATGGGAAAAGCGCTATTTTTTTCAGGATAGATAGAGCTCATCAAGAGCTATAAAATGGCAAAAAAATATGTCGAAAAATATGCAGTCCTCGATACTTTCGGCGAATCACACTGTTGAAATCCTATGAAAAATGTATGAATATGGTACTTATGTCCCTATTATCTCCATTATATTGCATAGAACCAGAGCCCTATTTTCAGAGTAGATAGAGCTCATCAAGAGCTACAAATTGGTAGAAAAATATGTATGAAAATATGCTGTGCTGGAAGTTTTCCAAAGATCACACTGCCCAATTTCTATAAAAATACATAGGTTGCACAGTTCTGCCCACATGAACTCCACTATTAATCGTTGGTGCCGGCTATCCTAGTAGCGACTTCGAAATCGACATTTGTACCAGTGGTGCATTCTGGACTACTAGAGACCTCGATACCAATATCTACACTGGCCAACACCAACGATTAATAGTGGAGGTTATGCGGACAGAACTGTGCAATCTATGCTTTTTTCATAGGATTTCAACAGTGTAATTCGCCGAAAGTATCGAGGACTGCATATTTTTCGACATATTTTTTTGCCATTTTATAGCTCTTGATGAACTCTATCTATCCTGAAAAAAATGGCGCTTTTCCAATGAAGTCGACTAGTGATTACATGGACCACATGATGCTGTTTGTATGAAAAATGTACGATAGGCAGGGTGATTGTGACTATCTCATTCAATATTACTATAAAGGTGCGGGAAAATCGATCTGTGACTCGGAAGTAGTATACTGTCGAAGTAAGAAGCATAAATTGGATGAAAGAAGTAACTTCCCAAGTGGTTTTAAAATAGGATCGATTTATTGACAAACCGTCCTCCGTCCTTTTCAATACCTTAAAACTTGAATAACTCGATTTAGGCTTGCCATTGGCAGCTCATATTTTTGATTTGGTAGTTGCTCGTTGAGGGCTCTCATTTGACACCGAAATAGTTACGAAAATCGACTGACATGACAAACAGTTCCGTTGTTAGTCATGAATGCAATAGAAAGTGATTGGAAAAATCAAGAAAGACTATCTTGAAAGATGAGTCCCGTCTGCCATGATCCACATTTCGACCTTGCTAAAGGGTCTTTATTAAATGGCTTTAGCTCTGATGTATTTGGTGAAAATAATTCAACAGTAGAATTATAAACAAAATACTTAATCTATACAGAATTCAGAATAAATTAGGCATGCACCGAACCCGAACTCAAGTTCGGAGTTTGGAATCTATTCAATGAACTTGGAATAGCGTCGAGCATCTAGCTAATTTTTCAAGTATTTCCTGAGATACAGATGCCGCAAAAACTATTGATACGATTTCGATAATGGTGACGTTTTTCGTACTTCATCCGTTCAAAACGTTTCATTATAAAGTCATTAAATGTAGTTCAGAACAAGCTACACACTTACAATTTATTTTTTAAGACTGAATACGTTATCGTTCTTCTTACCTCTCTGAGGACAATGGGATATACGGTGTCCCACCTGTTTTTCAGCAAACAATAAAATATTTTGGTTAGATTAATCTGTTAGACCTAAAAGGTTATACAAGTCGTAGATTCCTTCGTTTGTCATCTCATGTATACTTTTTCTGTCTTTCTTGTTTTCATGTGGATCTGTTGCAGATGTTTTCTTTTCTTTCTGCTACTGTACACTCTCGGTATGATTTCTCCCTTTCCCTCTGATATATTGTGTTTGGAGAACATTCAAAAAAAATTTTTAATTCAACCGGAAAATTCGCTAAATTTAAATAATATTATCGACAAATATTTGACTATCATATTTGAATTGTTTCGTAGATGATTAAACAACAATAAGAGAGCTGTTAGCGCAATCCCTTGAGACATTACAAATGTGAAACACGATGTAACTGCTGTTTCAAATCTTTTAAAACCTGTTCTTTTCGATATATGTTGGGGTATATTTCTTCGCAATGGATTAGTTTACTTTATACAGCTCAAGCAGAATAATATTCCATATATGCTCTAATCATATGTTAGTTATGCATTATCTGATAGTTGCTTAAAGTCTTCTGTCACAGTCTGTGATGGTCACATGCGTGTCTGTCACAGTCTGTGAGGGGGGGAGGGGTTGGAAGGGCCCAAACTTCTGCCCATAAACACTTCCACACTCCTTTCAGATCGTGTTTCACAAAATAGAAAATATCGAGGAAGAAACAAACTAACTTCTTATATTACGACGAGAAATAGCCGTTTACTTTTCTATTTATTGATGTTGCCGGTGAATTTTCTCTAGAACATATAAGAAATACAACATTTGCTGTAGTGGATGTTCATTTATCTCAAGAATTAGTAGATCATGTAATAGACATGGAAACGCACATTGCTCACAGAAAGACGCCTTAACATAAAATTCTGTTGAGACACAGAGATTGTGAACAAAAATTACTACAATAAAACTTTTCTACCATAAAATCAGATATAAACAACATTATTTTTGTCACACAAACAATGAAAATTGTGCAATTGTGTGTTTTAATAATCCAGTCTCTTTCTATTATTTGATCATTGGTTGCAGTGCTTCCATTCACATCCTGAATAATTGACACATGTGAAAGTATCGTCATCATATTGTTGAACAGTCGAGGCAGATCACTGAATGCATCAATTGACAGCTCGAGTCTTTGAACATGAGGAAACGAGCGACAGAAAGCATCAGTGTCGCATACAGTAAGTGATTCATTAAAATTAGAAATATTTGTTAATAAACGAAGATCAATAATGTTTAGTCATCGGTGAATGAAAAGTAAGTTGAGAAGAGCAGTCGATTGACTCAGTACATACAAACGTGGTGTGGGGGTGGATGTGTGGCGTCGATGTGTGTGTGAGTGTGGCCTAGGACAAGGACTACACCCACACTCACACCCACAGCCACAGCCATACTCACACTTACACCTATGACAGAATCTCCATTATCTCTTTATTTTTCGTGGACAACGGAATTAAATAGGTTTCTCATCGGCGATACATGGGCTACTGGAAAGCAAGATTTGAGAATAATGGATTGATTTCCGTTGCTCAGAGATGCAAGTCGATCTGATTTTTAATTGATTTATCTGCACCCTCACTCTGACACAATCAATCGACAATCGTTCAAAACTTATGTTAAGTAGTATGAATTCTTCTTTCTCGAATATATTGTCGCTATAATGAAGGTCGTAGTGAGAGGTGAGAGTACGAGTGAGGTGAAAAGAAAAAATCATCCTCATCCACAACCTCATCCACTCTCAGCCTCACACCTTAAATTTTTATTCATTATTCATATTAAAAGCAATTAATCATGTCATTTTCAATTTCAACCATATTTTCTGGTTCATTCATACTTTGGACGCTGGCTTGTATCAACAAATCATCGTTGCTGGCATTATGAACCCCAGTATTGAGTGGAAGATTGGACGATTGTATCGATGATAGATCATCATTGTGAGCATCATCAATCAGTGAAGGAATCGCGGATTGTGTCGGTGATAGATCATCGTTTTCACCATCATCGAGGAATGAAGAATTCGAGGATTGTGTCGGTGATAGATCATCGTTTTGACCGCCATCGAGGAATGAAGGATTCGAGGATTGTGCCGAAAATAACTCATTATTGTCGACATCATCGAAGAGTATAAGGTTGCAGGATTGTATCGATAATAGATCACCTTTATGAGCATCATCTGTCAATGTCCAATCTATGGTCGTGAGGTCGAATTCACCATGCTTTTTGGCCTCTTGATGTTGTCGAAGATTTATAGACGTATTAAATTGTTTTTTGCAGGTACTACATTCGTTCTTCTGCATATTCGGATTATTGATACTCGAGCTCTCCGATAGCATCGTATGAGAGCAATTTGCAACATTTTTTTTATTGACCCTTTTTCGAGGTTTCTGTTGATGATTGAGCGAAACAGGGCGTGGTTCCATGTTTTTATCCATCACTAGATTGGATAAAACAGAATGTGGTTCCGTTTTTATATCCATCAGTGAAGTGAGCGAAATTTCTTTATTAGGTTGTGCATTTGGATTTGTGTTTAGATTTCTATTCTTCTTATTGTTATTTTGTTTGTTTGTGAGCTGCTCTTCTCTACGTAGCCCACTCCGTTCTTCGGTAAAGTCACTCCATGGATAATGTTCATTTGCTGCTGCTTTGAGTTCGTGC